GCAGTCGCGCCTTCAAACAACTGTGTGCAAAGGTCGGGGTACGGTAGTGGCGTGCGTCTCAAAGAATCCACATGATTGTTTGAATGTTTGGAAAAAATATTTTATTATTTAAACATGATAATATATTTTTATAACTAAACAAAATACCTTCGATTCTAGTTCCCATTCTTATTTGGAAAGATTGAAGGTGTTGGTTGTTGAATTGTACACATTGCCGGTTTTGTTTTTTAACTTCAAAAAAGCACCAAACTTTAACTTTAAGTAGTCATAGCGGTTCTTCATTTGTTTTTGGTCGGCAATAAAGTTATGTTCAATTTTTAATGTTTCAGCTACATTCATCCAAGATAGTGCTTTCAAACTACTCCCTTCCTGTCCATTGACCGTAACTTCACGTAAACAAGCTTCTAGAAACGTTTTCTCTACACCTTCAACCTTCCAACTAATCCTATCATTCTTTTCTTCCATTTCTTTGATCAATTCAACGAAAAAAATGCATGTTTTAGCAACAAGTTAAGCATTGCAAATACACATTTTCAACAACAATTTAAGCAATATAAAGGCACATTTTCAACAACTACTTCAACAAAAAAATGCACAATTCAGCAAAACTAATGGATATTTCATGATAACAGCAAGAACATATATGATTTCACTATAACATCAAACACAAATATTATGTCAGCAACAACATTTCAGCATAATACTCAAACATAAAAACATTAAACATAAAAATTTGAGTATAAAAAAATCAAACATAACATCAAAAATTCAACATCAACATTTCATCATATCCATTGAACACATTCAGATTCGAGCATATAACATCATAATCGAGCATATAACATCAAAATCGAGCATAACATCAAATATTGATTTTGATTGAACAAATTAGAAACTGATAGCATAACAATTTCGATTTTTGATTTTAAAGATTGAGGGGAAAGAAGGAAGAAACAGAAGAAGGGCAATGAATTCGATTTTAAAAGAAGAAGAGAAACAAACCTGCTGCGGTCGGCGGAAGAACGAGTTGGAGACGGAAAACCTTGCCGCTGCGGAGGAAGGTGGCGTTTCTGGGTGCAGCGGCATCGGCGATTTGGGTGGGCGGCGTCGCTGGCGTCGTCGGAAACTAAAGAGAAGAAGATGCGAAGTAAGCAGACGCGAAGGGAAGAAAAGAAGAGGAGGCGGTCAATCCTGTTTAGGGCACATAGAAACGCGCGTCTCTTTTTTTATTTTTCAGACTTTGTTTAATATCTGAAAAAATAAGAGGCATTTTTAATTTTAAGAGGTAAAAAATAATACGCAAACAAACGGTCTGAATCTGAAATGTTAAGACATTGTCTCTTAATTTTGCAATTAAAAGGTAAACAAACAGGGCCTAAGTTACCTAAACTATAAATAGGATCCCTTGGGCATCAATTTTCGTGGATACTCTTTCTTAGAAGCTTATGAATGAAAATTATACCTCTCCTCCTCTCTCCTCAAGTGTCTTCTAGTTCTAGGGTTTTGGTGTGAGCCATTAGAGGCATCATCATTTTGGTGCTAGCTTTCCAAGCTCTTTAAAGGAAGGATTAAAGTAAATTGTTTGCTATAACAAGTTTGAGGTATGTATCTTTAGTTTCTGATTTTGGAAATTACTAGGATGCATATTAGGTCTTTGTTATTCAAAGTATGTTGCCTTAATGTGAAGACATAGATCCTTTTAGGTTGCATGTGCCATCTTCTTAATTGTTAAAGTGATTTTCTGTATTGAGCAATTTTTTTGTTCTAACCTAATAAACTCATCAATACAAACCTGATAATTTTTCTCTCATCATACATCTATTATCCATCATGCCCGATCCATTTCTCCTAAATTCATTTTCTTAGTTTTTTATCCTTAAATAATCGTATAAGATCATTTATAGTCATCAGCAACGTTTTATGTAACACCTGTTTTCCAGAATAGATCGGTTGAAGGTTTGGAAGGATCAAAGGTAAGGTTTTTGGGAAAGACCTTGTGTCACGATGTGGCGAATGGAGTTCCACGGCGTGGCATGTCAATGCATGAACGCACATTCGGGTGTCTGCCACGACGTAACAAGAGGAAGGCCACGACGTGGCATCAACTGGAGCCCAAGCCCATGATCTTTTAGGGTTTCCTCCATATTTAAGCCCCTAAACTCAAGATTTAGGGTATCCTTTTCAGCCTCCATCCCATCCAAACGAAACCCTAGCCTCCTTAAAGCTTTGAGGGCTTATTCCTTGAAGTTTAGTTCTTAGTCTTTAGATCCACCATCTACTTCATATTTCTAAGTGATTAGAGGTACAAAGATCTCATCTTGACTTATGTTCTTCTTGGTGCAAGTTTGAGTCCTTTTTGTACGATTTTGGTCCCTTCCTTGGATGTTCTTGGATGTTGAAGAACTCCAAAGCTTGTGATGGCTTTTCTAGGACGCTAGGCTTCTGTGGAATGAGAAAAAAGACCATGTTTGGCATATCTTGTGTTTATGCTCAAGTTATAGCCTCATTAAGGACTTAATGGACTTAGGATTGAAAATCTAGCCTTGGTATGGAGTTATAATGGATGAAGTTGGAAACTTTAGCCATTAAGTCAGTGTGAAAGAGTAGATCTAAAGTTTTGGTCTTAGATCTGTAGGGATTAATCACTTAATTAAAAAGATGGCATTCTGCAAATCCTACGATGTGGCCAAGGGTTTGCCATGTCGTGGTGGTACTCTGATGATCGAATATATTGTCCTTAGTTGGCCACGGCGTAGCCAAGAGCTTGCCATGTCGTGGGGGTCGTTGACCTGTTGACCGCTGACTTTTTGACTAGTTTGACCTTGGGTAAAACTTGAAGGATTCGGGATAGTGATTAAGGTTCCACTTTGGTTTGATGCTAGTCGGTTTACGTGAGCAATCCGTGTAGGGAGTGAGTGTGTTGATGTGTTCCTTGGGACTTCGATTCAGGTAAGTTTCCTTACTATACTATCTATTGCAGTGTATATCCTTGTATGTTAGGATATAGAAGTAGTAGTGTACTGGTTAAAGTACCAGTAAGATGGTGATCGTCTAGTGGAGTACCCTAGGGGTTGTATGTAGTCACGTAAGATAGCCTTAAAATTCTTGATCTAGGCTTTCTTACATGTTTATTGTTTGGTTGTGGCTCTAGAGTGGGATCTCCTGTTCGAATGTCTATATCACCTCTGGTTACATATAGTTATGCATTCCTTAGGGATCTTCCAATAGTTGGGTAGTGTACTTTACGAGGCTTGGTATGTTGTAATGAGTTGTTGGATATGTAGACTAGGGTAGATAATTGCATGTGCTTATGTGTTTTCTTGATTGCTTGCTTGTTTCACATGTCGACATATTGTGGTGGGGTGGGTTGAGCTGATCCTGCTTTGTGCTGAAGACCAACAAACTCGGGGGGAATATAGTCTTCGTTTTGTGGGCTCGGGGGCAATCCAGTCTTCGTACTATAGGCCCGGGGGCAATCTAGTCTTCGTCATGTGGGCCCGAGAGAAATCTAATCTTCATGTTGTGGGCCCAAGGGCAATTCAGTTTTCGTGATGTGGGCTCGGGGGCAATCCGTTCTTCGTGCTGTGGGCCCGGGGGAAATCCAATCCTTATGTTGTGGGCTGGTGTGCATGCATTGTATGTATATTGTGGTGTGTGGTATTTTGGGAGAACTTATTAAGCTTTGACTTATAATTTTTGATTAAATGTTTTTCAGGTACCAATGGTGATCGTGGGAATGCGAATGCGTAATAGTACACATTCTTCAGCAACCATAGCCATGGAGATTCCGCGTTTAATATATTACTTTGATTTTAGACAAATGTATCTTGGAATAAATGGTTTTTCTTAAATGGGATCTTATAAATATGAAGTTTTACCTTAATTAGAAACAAAAAACTTTGTTGTGAAAATGGAACGTTACATTTTATCAACCCATTCAACCTTTTTCTCAAGTGGAAATCAACACATCTAGAAAAACAAATCATTTATCTTATCTTAAAAAAGGATAATAAAGTGGCAACTGATCAAGATTGTAACAAATCAAGGGTAGTGTTCAAGCTAGACAAAGGAGAAAATAACCAAAAAAACGTCCAATACCATTAAGTAGACGTGTTTTTGACCAATTCTCCTTTAAAAGGAAAAATAATAAGTTATTTATGCAAAGTTGACAAACAAAAAGTAAATTACTGTCAGATCAAAGAAAATATGTTTTGGCTATATACACTTCTAATTTTCAAGTTAAATGGTTGATGTTTGCCCGCTTTTTAGGTGAATTCTCGGTGTATATGTCATTTGTTTGGTCATTGATCGTTTTTTACAAGAATTTGTATATATATATATATATATATATATATATATATATATATATATATATATATATATATGTTTGGTGACAATATTTCTTTTAAAAGAAAGTATCTTAAAATCAGAACTAATTCGTGTATATTATATCAAAAATTTGAACCTTATTAAAACATTATTACTTGTTAATCTATATATTTTATCCAAAAAAAGACTTCAACTCTTAACCTTTTAACTAAAAATCATTTATCTTTCAACTCCTTCCGACACAGCTAGGTTAACCACTCAGACAAGTATCCTTTTAGTAGATCACTTCTGTAAACTTAACACATCTTTTAAACTGGTTTTGATTTCTAAAAACATAAATATTCACCAAACATTAGTTTTTAATTTTTTTCTAATACTCTTTTCCTATAAAGTCGAGTCGACATAAAAGTCTCCCAAAAACATCATAATCAACTTATTGATTACTTTAAAACTACATGCATGCTAAAAACAATGACATAAACGGTTGGCAATTAAGATAGAAGATTCTAAAAGCCATGGACAAAATGTTTCTCACTTTCAAGAAAGTTAAAAGATAGATAGATCACTACGGAAAAAGAACTAGAGAAGATAAGATAGACACGAATGAAATTTTGTACATTTCATAGCTGGTCTTAAAAATGATCAAATTGTGTGCTTTTATATATGATGTTTCGGGATTGAACTATAATCGATTTCTACGTGTTAGTATTTATGAATCCAAAAAGAAACATTTTTGAATTGCACCCACGTGATATCTAAACCAGTGGCATACATCAAATTATTCCACAAAATTAAATATTTACATTCAAGAAACAAACAAAAAGTTGAAGTAAAATGGGATCTTGGAGACAAACAAAAAGTTAAAGTAAAATGGGATCTTGGAGATTGATGATCAACAATGATCATCCCATTGTGTCCAATTGGTTTCACTACCTCTACGAGGGATAGAATTGACCCTTGCGTAAGTGTCCACTTTGAAATTAGCCCCACACATCACCCCTTCACTATCCACCCTTGGCATAGCCTTAATCTTGTTCATTGGATGCTCAAAACTCATCAAACCACCCTCACTATGGAACATACACCCTGCAAATTCATCCCAAAACACATGTCAAATCTTGATATGGATTCACTAAATCTTTACAAAAATGAAATCTTGAAAATGGGTTATATATACCTTTCGGGAAAGGTGCAAATGACTTAGCACAACCTGCTTTTATGACCTCCAAATCATCGGAAATGACGACTGATCCATCTGCAGCTATTCCCCAATACAACTTTACTCCTCCATCTGAACCCTGTAATTATATATTTTTTTTCATTTAGGCATTTTCACGAACAGTTGGCAGGTGAAACAAAGTAAAAAGAAAAACGGAGTCTTGTGAACCATGAATATGGAAGTTTACCAGTGCAGTGAAAACAGTTCCGGATTTACTATCGTAGACAACAAATGCGAAACTTCCTTCAAGATCTTTGATGACCTGATCGGCGGGGTAAGGCCCACGGTCTCGTAGCGTCCGATAAGCTTCGATCACGAACATGGCTTCGTTGGTGTTCTTTGACAGTCCGTATTGTTTGATTTGGGAGCAGAGATTGTTCAAACTCCCCATGAACAAACAGTATATGTCATCAAAGGCAGTGAACAACCTTTGATGAATGGAGTAAGGATGATCGGGTTTAACATAAGCAAGAGCAGCAGCGTCGCCGAAGGTCATGGAGAAGGTGTTTGTAGGATGAACTGAAAGGAATTCTTCAAGGGTTTCTTCCGGGAGTTTTGGTTGCTTGGAGCAATGATGTGCCGCCGGGCTGTTTAGTTCTTCCGGTGGGTGTGCAAACGCCTTATGGAAGATGGCCAACATTTTCTTGTTTTCGAAGTTGTAAATTCAAGGAAAAAGGATGAAAGAATGTGGATCCATTGAAGGGTGTTTGCAGGGTCTATAAATAGGTCAGGTGTGGACCCGACTTGGGAGGGACAAACAGTGGTGGTTTTTGGGTGGCGCGTGGCGGCGTGGAATTACGTGGTGATGCATCAGGTCGATAACGATAACGATCGCGGATAAGCTTCTCGTACTTCGTGTAACGCTTCTTATTATTTTAAAAAGTTACAATTTACAAATATTAAATGACGATGGTTATATCTTTTTTATTTATTTATTTTAGATATATTTGATCAGTTATTTAAATGCCATCAATAATTTTTTATTTTATATGATCTATTTCAAGTATATGATCTAAATAATTTAATTTTAGTGATTTCATTGTCAAATAGTATCAATTTTATATTTGTTCCATTCGAAAACCTAGGAATTAACATTTTTTGCTATGCTCCTCTTTTACTTATTTTAATAAGGATAAAATAAAAAAGAAAATTGAATGATTAGACATTTTAAGAAAAAAAAAATTAAACTAGCAAACTGAAATTATTATCATACTTTATATAGTGGCATTTTCTTTAGGCTGGTTGTAACGATTATAACGTTGTTTCTAAAATAGACGAAAAAAACAGAGTAAAGGTAGGTATTATCTTCCCAATAAGGCAATAAGTATTTATTTTCATTATAAGAATTTTTTATTATAAAGTTTATATTTATAGAAAATCAGTATTTCGAGAAAAAGAAAATAAAGTGGAGCGAATGGATTTCGGAGCATACCAGATAAGGTCGTGTGTGACATCTTATCTACTGTAAAAAAATTTGAATACAGGCACAACGCCGTATGTTTTCCCAACCTGTGGGCTGTCGCCACGTCGGATTGTCACATGATGTTTTCTTCGTATCGACCTCCCTGGCGGCTGAAGCTCAATAAGGACCGGATATGAGGCCCAATATCGTATAAGCCGGGAAATCAAAACCCAATCTAGCTAATAAGGCCTTAAAGTTAAACAAAATAATTGGTCAATTAATCTGAAGCCCATTAATCGAAAAAATAAGAGCCACGATTAATTGCACATATACACAAGAATAACGAATCAACAATTTTATGCATATTAGAATTTATAATTATGGACTGTCGATAATAAATTTGTTGAAGATAGCACAGGGATGTTTAACATCCTGTCTCAAATATAAGGTGAAAAGGCATTTTTTAAGTTTACTATCAAATGACCAATTACCAATGACAAATGAGTTTAGCACTACAAGAGCCCAATAACACTACCAACTATTTAGCTTCAATAGAACCTGGCCCATTTTTTTAAACAGTTGAATTATATATATGTTAACACGTTAGCAAAAGCTAATAAAATAGAATGGATTTTGAAGTTCCATATAACTCACCACATCATCAAATAATCGCTCCAAAGATGTAAGTTTTGTAATCGATAAGTGAATTGTGTCGATCCAGTTTACCACCTTGGACACATCTACAAAACCCGGAACAAGTAAATCACAACAATTTCCTATGAAATCCCACAAAACTGAAGCTACTTTACAAGTAATAAAATTGTGTGGAATCTTTTCAGAATGTTGAGAACATAAGGAGCAAAATATTTTTGTTTGGGGATTGTTATTGAGTCGACTTCCTAGTTGTTTGGGAACTAGGAATAGTAGAGTTGTAGTTAGTTGGATTTGTTGGTTTTAACATCCTTTAAACATTTTACTTTGGTTTTTTAGCTAGTTGGTTTTCGTTTAATAAAATATCCAGTTGTTTGCAAATAAAAAAAAAATCTAAAATCAAATGTATTATTTTAAAGCTAAAGATTTGAAAACATGTATGAAGTGTTATATATCCTAAAAAAAAACTTGGTCGTTCCATTTCTGAATATTTTCTCTAATATATCTTGAATGCTTGATAACTCACATCAATGAATTTAATCGTTTGTTTGCCAACCAAATTTATCCAATTGTTCGAAAAACATAAATCAAGTGTTTCTTTTTAAGCTAAAGATTTCAAAACATGTATTAAATGTTATCCTAAAAAACTATGTCGTTCCATTTCTGAATATTTTCTCTAATATATCTTGAATGCTTGATAACTCACATCAATGACTTTAATTGTTTGTTTGTCAACCAAATTTATCCAGTAAAAAAAAACATAAATCAAATGTTTATTTTAAAATTAAAGATTTGAAAACGTCTATTAAATATTATCCTAAAAAAACTATGTTGTTCCATTTCTATATAAAACATAAATCAAATGTTTCTTATAAAACTAAAGATTTGAAAATGTCTATTAAATAGTATCCTAAAAAAACTATGTTATTCCATTTCTATACATTTTCTCTAAATGTCTTGAATTCTTGATAGCTCACGTCACATCAATGACTTAAATCGTTTGTTTACCAACCAAGTATTTAAAGCTCTATACTTCATTTTCATATGTGAGAGGTCTCGAGTACAGGAGTGTCTCTTTCTTTTAAACTCTGCTTCATCTTGTTTGTAGATAACTTTATCATTCTTGTAAGATCTCTATCTTATATCTCAACGAAAAAAATTAAAAAGTAAATATAATCTGAGATTTTTGGGAAAAAAATCTCCATTCTCCTTTAATAAGATATCTCCACGTGAATTTTCATGGCACAATTATCGATATATCCGCATGCTTCCTAATACGGGTTTTAATCTCGATTTGAGATCAGAATTAAGATATTCATAGCCAAACTTCATGATTATCAATCCAACGAAATTTCAATGCATGTGCATCCAATTTAGTTTTAACGAAAACATTCATGCTAGGTAAAGGTCTTAGGAAAACAAGAATATTAAGTTTAATGTGTTGGAATCCTAAGTCGATGAGGACTTGGAGACCAAACAATCTAATTTATGAAAAGTTTAGTTTATGGCAAGTTGGTCATAAGTTTCCTAGTCTAATACAAGTTGGTTTGTTAGGCTATATATACATGTTCATAATCGAGTTTATGATTATGAGAACATATTGTAAAACATTGGTTTTGAGTTAGTTTCCGATTAATCAATGAGTTATTTTGGTTATTTGTTTTGCATTCTTGTTTTCTAAACTTTAATTGGTATCAGAGCGAGGTGAAGACGGTGCCGATTTGAGAGTCGGTTTCAAGAAAAGTGTAGCCTTTCATTGCGGGGCAGACGCAACATGAATCGGGTTCCATTGAAGGGGGTGTGATTTCGTTTTGATCGTAAGCAACCCCGATTTTTTTTGATCGGGCTTGTTCTAAGGTAGAGAGAAACTAACCGGAGGCGCGGAATAAAACGGACGGGAAGACGTCAAAGCGGGTGGCTTTGATTCGGTTCGTTTTGCGGGTGACGAAAGACGGTAAAGGTGGTCATGACCTTGTCTTGTTGTTCGATGGAAAAGTGCTCTCGGAACAAGCTTGATTAAAGAGGTCGGGGTGGTGAAAAGAGATAATAGGATGTTGATTAGGGTTGAATAATTCTCTAGAAGGACTTAGAGATTCGGGGGTGATTGTTGGAATCCTAAGTCGATGAGGACTTGGAGACCAAGCAATCTAATTTATGGAAAGTTTAGTTTATGGCAAGTTGGTCATAAGTTTCCTAGTCTAATACAAGTTGGTTTGTTAGGTTATATATACATGTTCATAATCGAGTTTATGATTATGAGAACAAATTGTAAAACATTGGTTTTGAGTTACTTTTTCCAATTAATCAAAGAGTTATTTTGGTTATTTGTTTTGCATTCTTGTTTTCTAAACTTTATAATGGTTGGTAACATCAATACAAACGAGATTGACATAAAATGTTAACTAAATGCACGGAGTGCACAAATACATTTCATCCAAACGAGTTTCCGAACAACAGGTAAAAAGATAGGTATTTAGTTATTTTATACCGAACGTCACAGTCAAATTTGACTTTGATATTATATTTAGCATTTAACAAAATATTTATATTTGCGAAAACAATTTTCAAGTAGTGATGAAATTATACATTTAAAAACAAGAAAACATATATATACAATGCAGTACATAATCTCTGACATATATATATGGTAAGTATGTAGATTGGTTTAATCTTGAATCTTATTAACACCTACTGAAATACTCAACAAACATAAATATAAGACTGTGGGGAGTGGTGCGGTCTCTACCGTACTTTTTGCCACATAAGCAGGGGAACACCGCCCCCCTATGCGGTCTTGGGTGCGGTTAGGCCGCAGCTCTCCCCTTTTTGGCCACGTGTTCTAATTAGATAAAGGAAAAATGAACCGTTGAACGGTCAAAATTTTATACATTTAATTTTTTTTTTCCTTATAAATTAAACCATCTACTTCATTTGTTCAAACCAAAACCAAACTTTTACATTTCTCTATTGTTGTCTCTCTCAAAATTAATAGAAAATGTCTTCTTCTTCATTTTCTGAAGAACTTCAAGTTATTTTTGATGCTGCTATTGATTGTGCTCAAATGACGGAACAAACGTATGACACTTTATGCAATAACGCAGCCGAAAGTTCTCAACGGAGAACACGAAGACATATTTGCAGAATCGTGAAGAAGTCAACCAACGTTTGATACAATACTACGTTCACGAGAATGCCACTTATCAAGGGTACTATTTCCGTAGACGCTTCAGAATGTTCAAACGTTTATTCGAACGTATAGTTGAAGATGTAACGAGGGAGTGAAGTTTTTTCCAACAACGTTCCGATGCTAGAGGTACACCCGGTTTCACTCCCTTACAAAAATACACAGCCGCACTTCGTCAATTAACATATGACATTACACCTGATTCGTTGGATGAGAGTTTTAGGATATCTGCTAGGACTGCACGAGATACTCTCCACTATTTTTGTAAAACTGTGATTCAGTTTGATAGTCCAAAATATTTACGTAAGCCTACACGTAATGACATCTTACAATTGCAAATAAAACCGACCCGAACCGAACCGTATAAAGGCGGGTAATCACGGTTCGGTTCACGGATATCCGTTAAATATAAAAAAATAATAATCAATCAAAACTATAAACTCCATT